TGAAAAGTGGAAAAAGATCACATGGATGCAGGTAAAACGTGACATGGAGACACCGACCTTGAGTCCCTTCTCCAGGATCTCCTCTGCTTTGGCTCCACGGACGGTGCAGTGGACAGCAATCTTTTCATTTCTGCGAATACCGAAGGATCTCACAGTGTAGCGGGCTGCAGGAGGAGGAAACAAAAACAACCTTTAAGTCCCCATAACGGCACGAAGCGGAGTGAAATATTTCCAAAATGCAGTCCATTCCTCCTCAAGGAGGTACACATTTAAGATTAGACACATAGCAAGGGGGCTACAGGAAGTAGTTTAAAAAGTTGAGCTGCTACTGGCCCATCAAACACAAGGTGGGATGTGTGCCGCGGTTACTCATAACCTCTGTTCAGCTGCTTACATTTGACTTTAGGATTTGAAAAAGTCTGGTGATCATTTTTGTTTTTTAACAGTAAAATAGATTTTTCAAAGAAGTTTTCTTGACTTTAAGAAACAGGCTTAAACTCAACCGAGAACAGAAACATAACCTGGAGCCGTTACCACAGATTTGCTGGCTTGTTGCCCTCACTTATCAGCACCAGTTGCATTAGTCAGCATATTTTATTACAGTACAACTAATAACTAAGACTAAACCACAGCTAGAAAGTGAAAACTTTGTTTTTCTATGCAGGAGGACCAGACTAGAACCTGCAACAGGCGACAATATCACTAATGCACCGGTGTGCCAAACGAGGACTACAGTCACCATCTCCTGTCAGGAGGTATGCAAGTCCAACAGAGGCCATTGGCAATGAGTGAGTTTTCAAAGTAAAATACAAATAATGACAACACGACAGTCTTTAATACTCACAACTTAGGCCTCAGAGACAGTTTCATCCCAATAGCTTAGATTCTGTTTGGTCTTACCCTCACCTGTCCATATGGCACTCTTGTGTTGTATATTTGTACTGTCCTTTATCATATACACAGGGACTTTACCTTTGAACCTGGTTGTACTGTGTAACAGTGACAAAGTTGTGTTTTTTGCTAAAGTGAGACAGACACCTACCCTTGGAGAAGAC